TCAATGTTGCAAGTTTCCTCGAAATAGGACCATAAATGGCAAAGTTATGGCCAAAACGCCTTACATTGAGAGTGCACATGGTCACTCGAGGTGGGGTGCCACGTGCCACGTGTGACCTAAAGACATAAAGCGACCATCCTTTTGTACCAGATGAAAGGGGTCGTCAGTGCCCATGGGTAGACTTTCGGGTGCGCCACCATTGTCTCCTAGCGGCCGATCAAACTTGGCCAATCTTTAAATTAGGGCTTACCTCACTATCGGTCAAAATATCTCCGGAATGGAGAACCCCGGGCGGCCACGTGTTTGACACGTAGTAGACCCAACACCAATGGTCATTATCGCAACCGACTTGGAACTCTGGCTCAAACCCATGCAGTGAGGTTATCACCTAAGCATAATTATGCACCAATGGCTACCTATCCCAAAATGCTACACCCACGTGGCGCACGTGCGAAAACACGTGCACCACGTGATGAGGTGTACAACTATCCTAGAGCATCCCCTTGACGACTGACCTCGATTGGTTCCGCTGGCACGCATTGTTTGCGCGGCACAGGCCATCATATCAGCAGTGGTCAAATTTTCACGGAGGTGGTCCCCTCAAACAAGTGCGGGGCGTGCACGTGCATTTCAATCGCCTCATATATGGCCTATGCCACCTGGTAGGCGACATGTGGGTGCATATCATACTGAAACATTTTTAACATCTAAGGTGGAAATTTTGAGCAAAATCGATTTAAGTAATTTTTTCAAGAAATCCCATTGACTTAAGACGTGAAAATAATCTTAAATTTCCAATTGAAAACTCAAAGACGGGCGACGGCCCATGTCCGCATTCATTCCGTCTGCGTTCTCCGCACACAGTTCAACACGTTGTACTTTGGTGCTTCGTCTCTGCGACAACCACTTCGGATGTCGATGATTTCGACTTGAATAAATTTAGCTCGAGGGAGGTCACGCGCGACTTGCATAACGTGACTTCCGAGTTTGGACTGAATATAATTACGCCAATTATCAGCGATATGTGTCCACACAACATGGATGCGGTCCGCACACGATTTCCGTACGGACCGGATGCGCCCATAGGGTTCTGTGTTAAATTCCGTACGGACCGCAAGCATTCCGCACAGTGGAGGCGGCCTTAAGAGGCGGCGGCCATTTGCATTAAACAGTATAAAATAGAGTTTTTCTTTTCTTTTTTGCTTAAGTCCACTTAAATCAAAATTCCTTGTATAAATTTTGACATTTTAAAATTAATTCAAGAAAGATTGTAGGCCGCTATTGCTGAAAAATGAAAAAAACAAAGTTGTTCTATTATTTTCAATTAGTTTTTGAGCTACATCGGTACTTGGCGCAGCTGCGACATTGAAATGTTTTTCGATGTGTTCAGTTTTGAAACTGCTGTGTGCAAATCAAGCCAAAAACCAATTATATTTTATAAATGCTTATAATTACATTGCTAGCGATCTGTATCTGTTGAGGAGAGCAGGAAAGAGAACACTAATTGAAGAAAATAAATTATCCACAGGATCATGACAGGATCGCTCACTACATAGGCTTTTTTTGAAGTTGAGCGAAGTTGAAGATTTGTGGGGTGATGATGAAGTGACAAATACTGCATTCAATATTAGATCATAATGGTGAAGCTAGTTCTGTATTAACCCGCGCCGGGCCGGTGCTCTGAAATTCCGCGCCGGGCCGCGGGGGGGTGTTTGAACACCCCCCCTTCTAACTCGGCTCCTGGGCCACGTAGCGACACGCGGTAAGCGGCAATCGAAAGAACGTCAAAAATAAGGACGAAAACACAACGGTCATTTTTGGGTCAGGTCAAAGGTCAGGTCACCAGAGGTCACCAAAGGTAAAATGTTGACTATTTCAACATTTTGGAAACTGCCAACGGCTATCTCGGGAACCGATAGAGCTGCAGCGCCGGAAAAAAGCGCATTCGATAGCCCTTTTACAGACCTTTCTGAGTAATGTTCTCAGATTTGACCTCATGTCAACGGTTTAGCCTCCAGAGGGCAAAAACTCCAAAAATAGCCGTTTTATGAAAAACGTTTTTTCGGCAATAACTTTTGACTCAAAAGAGCTATGACATTACTTTTGCCAGCATCGTGTTCCTCTCGTCGAGACGCGTCGAATGAACTATAATTTGACCTTGAAAGGTCAACTTGAAAATTTGACCTCAGGTCAAGGTCATGACCTGACCGGAAAAGGTCATGTTGCATATCAGTCGATCCGCAACGTCGAGCCAAACACATCTAAGGCGTTTTCAGCGCTCTAGCACGCCTCTATCAGAAGTTATCATCCAAAAACTGTTAGATTCTGTTCGTGACCTGAGATGACCTCGGGGACATAACGAGGGGTCACAGTTGCCATTTTCTGGTTCAGTGTGTCTATTTTACCTACATCTCGATGTTTGAGAGTGTCTAGAATAGCGTTCGTGCAAAACAGGCGCTTTTCAATTTTCTCCCATTGACTTATAATGGAGAGGCCGCAAAATTGACCTGACCTTAGGTCACCGATATAAAAATTCCGAGATATACATTTTATAGATAGTGTTGCTCTAATCAATCGCTGAAAGTTTCAAGGTAATCGTTCAGTCGGTGTAGCTATGACGAGCATTCTTATTTTTTCTGAGGTGAGGTCACTTGGCGTGACCTGGTGACCTGACCTAAGGTGACCTGGGTCTGAAATTTTCACAACATGTGCGGAAAAGATGCACAAACAGGTGTGCCAAAAACGGCGGCGCTCCGCGCCGCCGTTTTTGAGATATCTGCGAAAAACCGCAAGGGGGGTGTTCAAACACCCCCCCCCCGGCCCGGCGCGGGTTAAACAGGGTTTTGGATAATGTAATTGCATTGCAGTGAAATGGAGAGCAAGACAAGGTCAAGATCAATCACAGACTTCTCAAAACAAAGTCAAATTTGTTGCTAATAAATGCTTTGGAAATTTTGAGAAAGGTAGTTAAAGTACGCTTTCCAGCATACAGTGAGTTAAACATTAATTCATGTTTATGTCTTGCACATTGGCTTTCTTTGTAAGATAATTATCCTTATGGTATTGGAATTTGCTAACACTGATAAGTTGCCATTTAACATTGGTAGACTGATGTATTTGATATTACAGTTTATGTGTTTGCCCATTTGTTAGGACCTCATGCATTTGGAAGAAATGTGTCATGATTGCCATTTTTCTTCATCCAGTGTCATTTAGCAAATCAAAGTTGAGTTCAGAAGCTTTATCAAAAATGCTTTCAAATCTTTTATGGCAGTAGTTGATTTTCAAGATACCGACAAAATACCAAATGCTTTTGGTATATAATACCGAATACCGAATCGGTATTGGTTCGGTATCGGTATACCGAAATTTCGGTAACCGATTGACACCACTATTCCTGACGGACTCCGGAATATTTTTGAATAATGAAATGGAATATTTTTTTTTTCTTGGCCAGAACACGACCTAAATTGGGCGTAAACAGATTAATTCGGCCGTAAGGCTGCCCTTTCTGGTCACACGACATCCGGCCTTCCTCATTGACTCCAGAATTTCGCTGATGGTTAACCCGCGCGGGGCTGGGGGGTAAATTTTAACCCCCCTCGCGAATTTTTGCAATATCTCAAAAACGGCGGCGCGCAGCGCCGCCAAACTTGCAGTAGCTTTTCTTACATCGATTTGACACGTTCCCTGAAAATTTGAGCGAAATCCGTCGGAAAATTGTTGAGAAATCGACGTTTTAGTGACGTCATGTTCGCCATTTTCGCCTCAAAAACGGCAAAATTTCAAACGCCGCTAACATCTTCATTTTTAAAGGAATCAGGACGTAACAAAGAAGGTTATACGTAATTCTACTTTGTCTATCAAATGGCTATCTCCGTTTTTTGAAAATTGTGGATTTTGGCCCAACTTAAAAAAATGACTTTTTGGAAAAATAATTATAAAATCCAAAATTTTGAGTGTATCGAAAAAAAACGGAATATATGTCAGAGAAGTGATCTATGTGCACCTACATACCAATTTTTAGAAGAATCGGTTCAAAAATGTGGGAGTTATTAAAAATGTTATGACGTCACGACACACACAAATTTTGAAAAATGATTTTTTTTTGAAGTTCTAGACCTCGTACGGAAACAAAAATAGCACCATTCGATTTGACGTGAAAAACAGCATCAGATAGACACCTTTTTAGGCCTTAACAACCAACTTCAAAATTTGACCTCACTTGACCTGACCTCGACCTGAAATTCATCCAGAGGTGGTCCATATCACTTATTGAGTGTGCCTATTGAATTCTATGAGTAAAATGACCCATAAAACATGTGTCGCACATGCCCTTTTCTATATTTTGTTTTTTGGTGACCTGACTTGACCTGACCTGACCTTGACCTTGACCTCTGAATGATATTGTATGCAACGAATATTGTCTTGGTAGCCTAAGAACACGTTTTGGGCAATCAGTCTCAGTCCATGACTCCATTCTTCGGCAACTACGGTGCAAGGCCGATACTGTAGAAACTTGCAATTTGTACCCTTGACCTGACCTTGACCTTGACCTCAAACTTTAAATTAAGTGCATGTTTTTAGTTGTTCGTGATGATATCTTTCGATTGGCGTTTGAATTTTCCAAATCGGACCATTAGTTCGGGAGATAACAGGGGGGGGGGGGTAAAATTTACCCCCCGCCCCCAGCCCCGCGCGTTCGGCTGGAGACCCCAGCCTCGCGCGGGTTAAGATTTCGTGTGAAGGTGAGATTTGTCCGCAATATCACTTAGTTACACCGTGCCGGATTTACTTGAGCTACGGCGGAAAAGCGTGCACTATGACGAATATCGTGCCGCGATTCAATATAGATGTGAGTGCACTGTGCCGAACCGTCAAAATCGCCTGCACTATTTCTGAATAGTGTACACTGCTGCCTCTAGATTGGAGATAAAAAAGTGTAGTTGTGGTTTATTTTCCCGCCGGCGTCCGCTGCTGATGTAGTCGGAACATCTCACCTGAGCAGGATGATCTTGATAATCGGGCCAGGCAGACCTTTAATGATGGCTGAGGCGTTCAGATGGCATCGACCATGCAGAACCTGGCCGTTCACCTGTGAATACGAGGGGACACAATTTAGTCGGCTACACGGCACCACAGAGCTGGTGGACACAGTTTTGACTGAGACGGGGGTGCTTGCTGGGTGTGAAGTTTATTGTGGAGGTGGACTGCGAACTTTGACGAGGGTGCTAGCTGGGTGTGAATCTGGTGTAGACTGTGGACTGGAATAAGTCATAACATCGTCTGCGGGTAGGACGACTTTCGTTGACCACACGTCTTTTGTCATCGCAAAGGACGGCGGCTGCCTTCCGGCCTCTCCTCGACCCCTACCCTGCATTTACAGGACAGGGTCCGTCCCTCCCTGCCAACTGGTCACGTGACTGGCCTCGCCCGAGGCCCGGCCGACTGACCCGGTGCGCCGTAGGCGGCATGGTCATGTCATGCTGATTAAGTCGCTCAGTTCATAGCGACAATGCTCACGGTCAGGCAGTGTCTTCGTGGCGGAGTGGTTTAGCGTCGGGCTATAGTTCGGGAGGGTGAGGGCTCGTTCCCAATCTGATCTTTCTGTTTTTCACTTACCCCGTTTACATGAGTCAGCAAAAGTGACGTTTAGAACGGATATTTCCGCTTAGCGAAAAGTGCGCAAGTTTCGACTCATGTAAATGGGTTTGGGCGCGCAAAAATGACGATTACGCGGAACGGATATTTCCGATGGATTAATGGGAAATATCCGTTTAGGCATCGTATTTTTTTCATTTTTTTCACTTAAAATGACACAAAATTTATTTTCTTATTTGCCAATTTTACAAATAACTCTTAATAACAATACTGATCTTAAATGATAAGAAAAATGATGTTTTTACTTAGCTTTTACCAGCTTTCGGCGCCTAATTCCGCGCCCATGATCGCAACAGCTGTTTGGGCCTTTGGAAGGAAGAAGAAGGGAGGAAGGATAAATAAGGAAGTTTGTCAACTCATTTCAATTCGATACCAGTGTTCTCAGTTTTCTACTTATATTGTTCGACACCTTGGAGCTATGAAGTATTGGACAGAGGTGGAGGAGCGTGCGTTTCTGTCTACAGTGCAGGAGAGAAACCTCCAAGAGGCGATCGACGGAAGAAGAGCCCGGAACTCCCAGGTTTGTATTTTTAAGATAAATCAAATCTGCCAGTTGGACTTTGCTGCATATCAATGCAAGAAGGAAATGATCAGTTATTAAAATAATGTGCTGCTGTCAGTTCAATTAATTTGCTGTTGCAGGCTTGGTGAATACACATCCTTGGATCAAAATTGATAAGCCGCACCAAGCCGTCACAAGTGATACATTACATTGAAACATTTTTCATAATTATAAGCCATTAAATTTAAATATTGTTCATGATCTTTTTCTCCCAAAAAGAATAGATATACTGCAAGCAGAAAAACAAGACCTTCACTCTATTGAACAAAATCTTACCTGACTTAACGTGTGGTCGTGCAACTTAAGATGTTTTGTGTAAAAAGTATTGTGATTATTTATGTGTGGGGTCACTTCTCAAGCTAACAAAGATGTTTTCCTGTCTTCACCCTTTATTGTTTTTATTATATCAATCTCACTATGTTTTAGAGGGTGGTGCAGAAAAGTAGATGCAGCAGCAGGCAGTAGGCTTCGGTAAAAGTGGCCTTTTGCACCCTGGGCTCAATATGGAATGAAAATCACACCATGTTGCTACTGAACCATTTATGAACCTAAAAATTTGATTGTTCATATCATTTACTCATAAGAAAACATGTGTCCTGCTAGCAGAAATACCAAATCCTAACCCGCGCCCGGCTGGGGGTCCTGGATTTCCACGCCCTGCTGGGGGGGGGGGGGGGTGTTTGAACACCCCCCTTCTAACTCGGCTCCTGGGCCACGTAGCGATACGCGGAAGGCGGCGTTCGAAAGAGCGTCAAAAATAATGAGGAAATCACTTCAGTCAATTTTTTGGTCAGGTCAAAGGTCAGGTCACCAGAGGTCATTGAAGGCAAAATTTCGCCGATTTCCGGGTCGAATGTCGACAATTTCCAAGAAGCCAACGCATAACTCGGGAACCAATAGAGCTACAGCGCCGCTGAAAAGCGCATTCGATAGCCCTATTAACGCTCTTTCTGAGTAATTCTCTCAGATTTGACCTAACGTCAACGGTTTTGCCTGCAGGGGGCAAAAACTGCAAAAATAGCCGATTTTTTCGGAAACAGTTTTCTGCAATAACTTTTGAGCCAAGCCTTGAACGAGCTTACTTTTACCGGCATCGTGTTCCTCTCGTCAAGACGCATCGAATGAACTATAACTTGACCTTGAAAGGTCAACTTGAAAATTTGACCTCAGGTCAAGGTCATGACCTGACCGGAAAGGGTCATGTTGCATATCAGTCGATCCGTATCGTCGAGCTGAACACATCTAAGGCGTTTTCATCGCTCTAGCATGCCTCTATCAAAAGTTATTTGCGAAAAACTGTTAAATACCATTCGTGACCTAAGATGACCTCAGGGCATAAACAGGGGTCACGGACACCATTTTCATGTTCAGTGTGTCTAAACCACTTGTAATTCAGTGTTTGGGTGTGTTTATAATGGATTTCGTCCAAAAGAGGCGCATTTCAATGTTCTCCCATTGACTTATAATGGGGAGGTCGCAAAATTGACCTGACCTTAGGTCATCGATATCAAAATTCTGAGATATACATTTTGTACATGCTATTGCTCTTAGCAATCGCTGAAAGTTTCAAAGCGATCGGTCACTCAGTGTAGCTATGACAGACATTGAAACTTTTTATGAGGTGAGGTCACTTCAAGTGACCTGGTGACCTGACCTTGAATGACCTTGGTCTGAAATTTTCACAACATGTGTAGCGAAAAACCACAAGGGGGGGTGTTCAAACACCCCCCCAGCAGGGCGCGGGCTAATCTAGCCTGACCCAACGGCCAACGCAGATGTAGCACGAGCTGCCATATGTGTGGGAGTGCATCTTTTTAACCGGGGAGCATTCATTCTGGCCAGGGTTCATAATGTCCAGGGTACGTTATGCCCAGTGTCGAAATGGCCAGTGCCTTAAATGGGCCAGAGTTCATAATGTCCAGGGATTGCATGGTCCAAATGCGGCCAACTGGCTGCAGATAGGGTATATTCAAAGAGGCCAGGGTTCATAATGTCCAGGGGACGATGTGTCCAGTGTTCGAAATGGCCAGGGTTCATAATGTCCAGGGCACGATGTGTCCAGTGTTCAAAATGGCCAGAGTTCATAATGTCCAGGGCACGATGTGTCCAGTGTTCAAAATGGCCAGTGCCTTGAATGGGCCAGAGTTCATAGTGTCCAGGGATTACATAGTCACTGAAAGTGACGTCATTATGTAAAAAACACGGAACCAGCTCAATGCGAAGCAGTGCAGTGCCGAAGGCAATGCCTTAGGAGAGATTACAGGCAATAGTAAATCAAATATTTTTAGGTAAAGTGGTTATGTATCTGGCTTCAGGACGAAGGCCTGAAGCCTGATGCATAACCACTTAACCTAAAAATATTTGATTTACTATTGCTTGCAATCTATTCATGCGAGAAACTATTTCCTTATCCCCGGTAGGCAAACATCATTACCTTAGGTTAGGTTAGGTTAGGTTAGGATAGGTTAGGTTATTTTAGGTTAGGTTAGGATAGGTTAGGTTTGGTTGGGTTGGGTGGACTATGTAATCCCTGGACACTATGAACTCTGGCCCATTCAAGGCAGGTACGTATTATTTAGGCCAGGGTTCATAATGTCCAGGGCACAATGTGTCCAATGCTCGAATTGGCCAGTGCCTTGAATTGGCCAGTGTTCACATTGTCCAGGGATTTATAACTGAACCTTACCTACCTGAATTAATGGGTGGTCAGGTGTCGCTTTTCAATTTTAGAAGGTTATGCTCTTTCCATTCATGTTCTATAGTTTGGTAATTACGGAGCGAGCGAAGCGAGCGGAGTCTTTCCTTAGATTAACGGAAATTTCTGAGTATGAGCGGCCGGCCGGCCGGCCGTGCGGACGCTTTTGCGAGGCTTATATCTCAGCAACCACTTGACCGATTTACACGCGGTAATTTTTGTAGGGTAGCTTCATTCCTTCTACCAAGTATTGGACTATTCCCGATGTATGTGGGTGACCCTTTATGCACGTGCCACGTGCAAAACGAAGAGGTGTCAGTTTTGTAATTGTTGCAATATCTCGGTAACTACTTGGCCGATTGGCTCAGGCCCGGGTGACCTACGCCCGGGTGGCCTACGCCCGGCTGACCTACGCCCGAATTGCCTACTCCATCGAATGTCTACGCCCGGGTGACCTACGCCCGGCTGACCTACGCCCGAATCGCCTACTCCATCGAATGTCTACGCCCGGGTGACCTACGCCCGGCTGACCTACGCCCGAATCGCCTACTCCATCGAATGTCTACGCCCGGCTGGCCTACGCCCGGCTAACCTACGCCCGAATCGCCTACTACATCGAATGTCTACGCCCGGCTGACCTACGCCCGGCTGACCTACGCCCGAATCGCCTACTCCATCGAATGTCTACGCCCGGCTGACCTACGCCCGGCTGACCTACGCCCGAATCGCCTACTCCATCGAATGTCTACGCCCGGCTGACCTACGCCCGGCTGACCTACGCCCGAATCGCCTACTCCATCGAATGTCTACGCCCGGCTGACCTACGCCCGTATCGCCTACTCCATCGAATGTCTACTGCTCCCCTCCTGTCCGATTAACGAGTGAAGATTTCGCATACCAAAGTGACCCTTCCGGGGGAACCGGCACCCGCAGTCAGGTAACAATGGGAAGGGTTGGAGGGACCGACCGCCGCGCCGCATGGTGACAGGTGATTCCCGGGACGTCCGAGCGTCGCCTTTCAGACGCATCGCCGCCTTCCCCCACCCCCCCCCCCCACCGCGCCGTGCCGCGCCGCACAAAGCAGACGGACCCTGTCGCGGAGCGAACTACCCGACCAGGCTGCCATCATCGGCGGAGAGCCTGAACTGCTTTTTTTTTTAATCGTTGAGCTGATCAA